TGGAGTTGTCTGCACTCGACCGCCGTGTGCTTGGCGTTCTTGTGGAAAGGGCAGGGTAAATTCTTGAGGTCTTCGAACTTTTTGTTATTCTTGTTAGACTTCTTGGACCTATCCATGGAAGCAAGGGTGTTGTTGGGTCCTCTCTTTCTGGCAGATTGTCCACCCTGATTGCTTGTAGGGTCGTAACCTTTATCTTGTGGGCCGTGTGGGAATCGTTCGCGAGTACGCTCTTCAGATACAATCATCTTTTGTACTGTACGCTTGAATTCCTTAGCGGTCTCTAGATTGTCGTCGCAGAATTTTTCAAACTGCCACTTGTATTTGATCCCGTTGGCGAAGTGATTTATCACCTTCCTGTCTGTGATATCAAAGACTTGGGCTCGTATTTCAGCAAAGGGGTGATAATATTGCTGGTCTTCGGGAAGGGTTAGCTTGAGATGTTGCTTTTGCAGCTTGCATCTGAAGGGCCATTGATTCCAAAATGACTTTGAGTCATTGCTGATCTAGAGTAGGGTTTTCTATGGCCGCCATCTCCCCTACCAGGGCGTCATGGTTGATGGTGACCTCCTGAATCCGAGTTGAATCAGAAATTAAGAGGTGCGAAAACTTCTCGGCGAGTTGATCTAGTATGATCGTCGAGACATCTGGTGAAGCTTGAGGCACCGGGATCTCCATGAGACGAGTTTGGAGCTTGCCATTGTCGTTTGCCTTATAGACCCAGGAGCCGAAGATGAAGGTGGTTTCCATCGAGAAAATCATGTTGTCGAGGTCCGCCGAGCTTTCGATCACGAAGTCATCGAAAGCCCCTACCTAGCGCGCCAGCTGTCAGTGTTTGATGACCGGCAACTCATCACGGGGTTACCCGAGACGATGTTCGTAGGGCTTCAGCGTACGCAGAACTCGACACTAAACGCAAAGAGACGAACGGTTTATATTGGTTCGGGCCCTGTTGACGAGTAATAGCCTTTATGTCGAGTCGACGTGTAGCCTTTTTGCATTGGATTGATTGTATGATTGTTGGGGTTACAAGGGGGTGTGTCGTACCTCTCTTTATATAGGGAAGAGGGTAAAGGCACATATCTAGTCCTAGTCGATTATAATAGAAGAGTCATAGTCCTATTACAGAATCTAGGTTTCATAGTAAGCCGACTAAGTTGATCTAGAATAGCTTGAAGTCCACACCACCTTGCCTCACGTCCTTCAATAGATCATGGGCCATCCTAGGGCCAATCTGAGTAGAACTCTCGTAGGGAACCCCTAAGGCCCTGGTTCGTCAGGCAGACCGATACCTATGCATTTGATGTAGAAAATTTGCCCTTAAGGGCATATGCTCGCATATGCCTCACCATTGGATGCACATGGGGATCTCTCTCCTGCTGCACATGCATCCCCATGTGCATCAAATGGTACGTGCACATAGGTGCATATGCCTTAAGGGTAAAAACAACTTTGCCCTATGCATTTGGCGTTCTCATCTAGAGGTTGTTATAGGCAAGAAGAACGACGACGCCCCATCAAACGATGACCACAACATTGACTAGGTCTGGCGCCTTCATCGGGATGGGAAGTTGCTTGAGACTGTGGATGCCGACACATGCTCACCGCAGACGACGCGAAGCACGACCAGTAGGATGGTGGCATCCTTCTGGAGGCTGAGCATGTCTCCTACTCGGCTTGGCCTGCACCAACCCAAACCCGTCCAGTCGCATCCAAGCATCGTGGGGACAGTGTAGGTCATTACCAAGTTACCGTCACTATCGGATGTTCCTCTTTAGAGACCCACATTCATGTGCCCCCCTCAAGATTGGTGTGCACGCAAGTCTATGTATAGCACAGAGTTTTAAGTGAATTGTGATGAGAGCTCTGCAAGCACGGTTTAGATGGTGAAGGTCAGCATCAGCCAAAGGCAGTCTTTGTCCGGAGACACCGGAGGACATGAATATAGCACAATGGCGCCTGGGAGCCACGATTCGGCTACATCCAGGAGCTGAGTCATCGGGGGAGAACACAACAGACATCCTAGCGCCTTCATGCTTGGACAAATAAAATGGTCATTGTTGTTTTGTGTGCGTGATCCCTTGGCCTCGTAAAGTTAATGTAACTATACACAACTAGGTTTGTTTGTTTTTCCCATTGTCTTCCTAATGTGGGCCTCTGTTTTATGTTTGTTATATACATCATCTGCGCTTAGTCAACCATTACTTATGCCCTGTCCCATTTTTCTTGACTAGAAACTTTTGGCATCATTGTCGATGTCGATAAGTAACTTATTTGGCGTCATGGTAATTTCACATTTTGTTTGGAAAGGCTCGAGACACCGATGGATGTTGGCACGACGATTGACCTTGATAGCGGCTCCTTGAGGCAACAGTTTCATAAGCAACATTGCGCTGAATACAATGTTGTCTTAGGGCAAAAAATACAAACAGTCATCTATAAGAAATGGTACAGGATAATTCAAATTTAAATTTATAAGACCCAAGGAACTAAACAGTTCACGAGAGACTTTGACAATGGTTTTATAGGAAAATAGAGCTTAACATGAGAACAACCGGAGGCTTCCATAAATTGGCCTCAACAAAAATTCCACATCTATAGGAGTGGATAGGAAATAAAGAAAGAGAAGACAGAGGCGACAATAACATTTAAGCTAGTATAAGTTGGTCAATGATATCTATATAAAATTCGTGCCAGCGGGTGAAATGGGGCGTAGTAGAGAAGATAATTACAATCAGACAAATAACTGAACTATTTTTTTTAAAAAAAACAGGTAATAAAATACCCAAATATTACAATAAAAAAAGTCTGGTTGCCCACACGGTTTAGTAAAGACCACTTTACACTAGTGCTCCTCGGCTTTACTACTAGAGGTCCATGGGCCGAACGACTTCTAGCTGGGCCTGTTTGGATAAGATATACAGCTTTAGGGCAGTCTCAATGAAAGAAACTAGTAGTTTCTATAACCTAGGATACTGCATCAAAAAGTACTGTTTTCCAACCCATGGTTTTTATGAGTAATAATTATTTTCTCTTTCTCTCTCCCAACTCTATTTTCTTCCTCCAATGGGAGTGCGACACGAGCCCTTTAGAAACTGGTGGTTTCTCCCCAATAGCGATTTCATGGTTTCTTGGTGCATTGGGTCAAGAGTAGACCTGATTTCTTCATGAGGAAACCATTTCTATGATTTTTGCTCTCTTTCTTCATTAATTACGTTGCCATATCAGCGTTTTATCTACGTGACAAGTCATTTAATGATGATAGAAACAATCATCAATACACCCTTGGGAGTGCCCTTATACTGTCATGTTCTATTTGGATTGAAGTTCTATTCATGTCCCTCGGGATTGATGCATAATTTGGAGAGCCGTAGATGAGACAGACAACTTTCATATTAAAGCCTAATTTGAAAGCAAGGGAAGGCACATCCAGGATCCAGGGACGGAAAACCCTCCATTGAATAATTGAATATGTTATTTAAATAATATCCCATGGATTTTTTTTTAAAAAGTCATGGATTCTAAACGGATTTGAGTTTCCAAAATGAGATGGACAAAAAAATCTAAAATTTTGACTCGATATAGACATCTAGACACGGTGTAGATTTATGTGTAAAAAAATATTATTAGATAAAAACATTAAGAAAAGGCGAGAAATATTTTTTTAAAATGTTTCTCTACTCCACTGGCGGAGCCATCGCCCGGCCACCCCAGGCTGCCGGCCGGGCTCATCACCGACGTTCGAAAGGAAATTTCTTTATATCAAAATCGAACCCTATAATTTTTGAGCTAAATATTTTTACATAACAGAAAATGTGCGAACTCCTTAAAAAAGCTTCCCGCTCCGCCTATGCTCTACTCTGATGCGTGTCAGAACGTGTCGTGGCATCACAGGTGACGACTGACAACGGTGAGGTGACAGTGAACCAGAAACCAAAAAGCCCAAAGGAAAAGGAAAACGTGGCCCATAGACCCTGAACGAATCACCGGTGAGAGAAAGCGCACGCGACAGACGCAGCCAGCAAGTCCCCATCTACCGTACTACCTCCTCTCGATCGGAGGCCGCGGTCCGCATCGGATCAGCTAGGCGCACGCACCGCTCTCGCTTGGTAGACCTAGCTAGACCCGGACCCACCCGCAGAGCGCACCGCAGCGCCACTCGGTCCGGCTGCGCATCTTGTTTATAGGGTCTGGGTATCCGCGCGGCGCACCGGTTCGCCCCCAAATCTCATTCCCATGGGCCGGAAAAAGCGAACCTCCGCACCAAACCCTCCTCCGCCACCGCCGGACGCCGCCCGCCGGCCGGCGGCCGCGGCGGGGAAAGCGGCCGGCGTCGGCGGGGAAGATGCCGCCGTGCGCGCCGAGGTCGACAAGGCGCTCGCCTGCCTGCAGCGTGGCAGCCACGCGCGGGCGCTGCGCCTCATGAAGGATGCCCTCGCCCGCCACGGGGAGGCCTCCTCGCCGCTGCTTCTGCGGGCGCACGGCACCGTGCACGCCCGCGCCGCCTCCGTCCTCGACGACCCCGCAGCCCGCGCGCGCCACCACCGGGCCGCGCTCCAGGCGGCCCAGCGCGCCGTCGAGCTCGCACCGGAGTCCATCGAGCTGGCCCACTTCCACGCCATGCTGCTCTACGACGCCGCCAACGACGCCCGCGCCTACGAGGAGGTCGTCGCCGAGTGCGAGCGCGGCCTCAGCATCGAGGTCCCTCCGACCCTTCATCCCACTCCCTCAGGCTGCCCGGCCCCGACGTCGACCAGGTCCAGTCCGAGCTCCGCAACCTGATCCAGAAGGCCAACCTCGCCTCCATCTCCACCTGGGTCAAAACCCTGGGCGGCGCGGGGACGATAAGCTTCGCCTCATCCCTGTGCGCCGTCTTGCCGACGAACCAATGGAGCGCCGGCTTGTCCCCACGGCGCCCTCCCCCCGCGCCGCCCAAACGAGATCAAGAAGGCGACCAAGACCCCGAGGAGCGCCGCCAGGAGATCGAGGTACGCCTGGCTGCCATGAGGCTGCTGCAGCAGCAGAAGGAGCAGAGCAATGGTGTTGTGTCTGCCACCCCCGCTTCTTCCCAGTCACAGGGAGATGAGGCCCCCTCATCGTCTCAGTCATCGGTGGGTGGACATAGAGCTGACCGGAGAAAAGGCGGGTCTAGGAAAGCAACAGGCTCATCTGCGTCTGAGCGCACTGATCAGGTGCGAGCCTACTGGGGCTCGATACCAGTGGAGCAAAGGCTTGCATTCTTAAACACTAGCATTTCTGAGCTCAAGTCACACTATGCTTCTGCAATACATAGGAGAAAGATGCTGCCAGTGCAGCATCTGATGTGCTCAATGAGGTGATACGATTTGCCAACAAGCATGGCAAGTGGGATTTCATGGTATGTGGTAGGGTGTCGTGAGCAGTTTACAGATGTGGAGGCACTCCGTGGCATGTCACGGGGAGCATGTTGGGCTACTCTCATCTGAGCTGCAGGAAATGGTGCCGCAGGAGATTGATGCTGACTGGGCAGAAATGCTCATTGGTTGGAACTGGAGGCCATTGGATGCTACTGCCGCACTGAAACTGTTTGAGGAAGATCAAAACAACAACCTTGGAACAGATAGGGACAAGGAATCGAATTTGTTGAATAATTGAGTAACAAAGACAAGTCGGACATGTCAGAATCCTCAGCCTCGCCACACAACGAGGAGTGTAATGGTTTTGGAGTGGTGGTGAGGGAAGGTGATGACAAGTGGCCACTCTCAGATGATGGCGAAAGGGCAAACATTTTAGAAAGAATCCATTCATCGTTCAAAATCCTTGTGAAGAACCATAATCTTTCAGTGGGCAATCTAAACAGGGTGATTCGATTTGCTGTAGAGGAACTCAGGGGGTTGCCATCTGGGTCACTACTGTTTAATCACTCTTTGGACAAGTCGCCACTTTGCATTCGCTTCTTGGAGGCATCATCACTGCGGAAAGTAGCTAAATTCTTGCAGGACTTAATGCAGGCCTCTGGACTTAATAGGAACCTAGAGAAGGCTGAAGGACTAGGTGACGAGGATAGTTTCCCAAAAAACCACAATGTACTGGAGAAGGTTACCCTTAATTCTGATTCATCAGAACTGATCATTGATGGGCAGACCTTTGGTGGAAAGTTTGACTCCGAGAGTGTTGATACTGATGCATTGCTTTCATGGTTGTACGCTGGATCTTCAATTAGTGAGCAGCTATTGGCTTGGAATCGTATGATTGACGAAAGGTCAAATCAGTGCGTCGACCTTATTTGGGCACTTGGGAGGGAGTTCAACAGCTTGCAAAACTCATGTGAACGGAAGCTTGAACAGCTGAGAAATGAGGAGGCCTTTATTTCTGTAGAGGGCCTCTTTTGTGAAGAGCAAACACGAAGGGAGCAGGTGGGGCGGTATGGATTCCAAACTTTCGAGGAGCTCCTCAGGAAGCGGCAGGAGTTATTGGAACGCAATACTGAGGAGCAGTCCGACAGTAACAGATCTGAGATAGATGCAATCTCAGCTATTTTGAAGGAACTTCACACATCACACTTTGGTTATGATGAAGCCCTTTCTGGCATGGCTCCACGCCTTTATGACTTTGATGGGGCCGAAGAAGATGAATGGAGGCTGCATGATTTTATACATCCAAACGATTCAATGGTACACATGGTTGTATCAAAGATGAAGGAACAAGTTTCTATGGAGGTTAGTTTTTCTGGATTCTATTCACTGGAGGAGTTCATAAAACCTTCAAAATACATTTACAATATATGTTTCATAACTTTTTTTTTGCTTGCAGATTAGCAAGGTAGATGCTAAGATTATGCGAAATTTCTCTGTGATCCGGCAACTAGAGCACAAGCTTGGACCTGTTTCTGCTCTTGATTATCGAATGATTCTTTTGCCCCTTATGAGATCATTCTTGCAAGTGCGTACACATCATCACAAGTTTTGTTCCAGTGCCTTGTTTTGCACTTTTGCTTTTTTTATATGTCAGTGCCTTATGTTTTTGTTCATTGCTTAACTGTCGCTATGGCATGCAATGTAGAGCCATTTGGAAGAGCTGGTGGATAAGGATGCGAGAGAGAGATCTGATGCTGCAAGGGAAGCCTTCCTGGCCGAACTTGCCTTGGATGCTAAGAAGAATGCAAACAAAGGGGGTGATATGAAACAATCCCATGAAAAATCAAAGGATAAGAAGAAGTTTAAGGATTCTCGAAGATCAAAGGAGCTCAAGGTGGATCTGATTGTGTTAGACCATACACTTTACTCTTTTTCATGTTCGCATGAAGGAATTTTTCTTCTTACAATTCTTCTGATTTCTCCCTAGGATTCAAGCTGGAGTGACCAGTCTCTCAGTCGCCAAGACAGTGCTGACGAGGAAACAGCAGAGACATTGTAAGTGATTCTTGCAGTACCTATATTCTCAAGAACTTGATTACTAAAGAAGCCCTCTTTGTGAGGGCACATTTGTTCAAATTTCTTAATTGGTTATGGTGCTTTGGAATCCTTAGATTCCTTCTCTTTTGGGGTATCTGTAGTGACTCTGTACTACTAATAACTGGCATTCTAATCAGCGTATGGTTGTTTTGTTAGAAGGTCACATTGTGTCAACAGAATTTACTCGAGGAAAGATGTGCATAATTACAAGCTTGCTTTCTTTGATTCTATTTTTTCTTATCCTACCTAAAACATGTTATATATCAATATATCATCTTGCAGCAGTAGGAAGCAGCCAATTTATGTGGTATGCTTCATTTCTATTATTCTATACTTGCCGAATCATGTTAACCTTGCCCAGTAATTTTATTTTGTTTGAGTTAGTCTTGTGAATTGATAGGTTTGCTGGATAATATTGAAACATGGTACTACATATGTTAGTATTATTTTTAAAGCCATAAATTCCAGTTACTCATTATGATCAGAGGGTTATGAAATATGCCTACCAATACCCCCATCCGAGGGATTTATTTGATTATTATGGTTTTAAATGCCAGCCTGATAAGAAATCTAATATAAGCTGTTCTGTTTGCGGTGATCAGTAACTAGTGATTGCTGTGGGAAACAAGATACAGTACAGAAATGAGTGTGAGCTACTGGATCTTGATGTAGGTGCTCAAGGGGCTAGCAATGTTATGTGTACCCAAAGATAGATGTTTCCAGAAGAAAAGCAAATCTATCTTATACTCTCCCTTTATATTACCTTGTTATTGTTGCCTGCATCAACATTTCACATTCAGTTACAACACTTCCCTAGCCCCCATCTGCCCACCCTTGTGTAGAACTGTAGATTATAATAAATGAATGCTCCAAGTTTATCTCTATATGAGGTCACATGTTACTTGATTGTGACATAATGGCGAATGCCTTGTTGCTGTGTGGCGTCACCCAAACTTGTGCGGGTATTGTTGAAAAAGAAGCTGAGGGTTGAGGCCATTTAATGTTTGAGTGACGCCACACAGCTTGGAGGGTTGAGGCCATCTTTGTGTCATTAATGACCCTTTGCTCCTGAGATGTTTGTTTGTCTCTTCTATGTCATACATATGCTTGTATGTGTTTCTGAAATTCACTGCAAACTTCATTGTCAGTGCCAAACTTGTGCGGATATTGTTGAAAAAGAAGCTGCAATATAATGATCCTTTCATCGACCTAATTTCTTGGAGGTAGTTATATGCCCTTTAATTTTGACCATGCTATTTTCTTTATGCAGTCAAATGCTTGCTGATTGTGATGATTTGGATTGCAAACTCTCGACAAGTGATGATTACTTGAATGAACAAGAGGAAGAACTAAGGCATAGGGTACAACTTGAAGCAGAGGAAAGAAAGCTGGAAGAGACTCTGGAATATCAACGGCGGATAGAGGAGGAAGCAAAGCAGAAACATCTTGCAGAACAATGTAGAAGTACATATGCATCTTCTGTAATTGGTACAGCTTGTCTTTCAAGCACTGGGAATCAGGATAACCATGAAAGTGCACTCAATAACTCTTCGCGTACTTATCTCGAAGGCATAAAGTTTGGTGACTTTCGCTACACCGAGAACAATTTCAGTCAGAAACTTAACGGATTGGATTCATCTGATGCTCAGGCATTAACCAGCAGTGATATGAGTGTTTCTAAGTTGACATTGAAAATGAACGGGGTTTGGAAAAATGCACAACCTATAAAGCCTCTCAGTAATCATGGCACCCAAAATTCTAAGAGAAGCTCTAGCGAACCACAAAAGAAGTACTTCCAAGGTTGTGGGTTATGCACTGTACAAGTTAAGCTTTAACTATCAATTCTGTTCACAATTTTAAAATGTATTACTATATATTTATTGTTGCAGGTGTGCCAGGTGCTATTTATGATGACGACGACAATGATAGGGCATCTGGGCCACAAATTGGTTCGAAAGCTTCTAGATGGAGCAGCTCTTGTAAAATAGCTCCCTATGCAAACCACAGCTATCAAGCTGGAAAACAGAATCACTCTGCAGGAACAGAGAAGCCAAATTTTGAGAAAGGTAGCTATTTTCGTGGGTCCATAAATCTTCGTATAAAATAATTTGCAATATCAGTTTTTGAGTACTGGATATAGTAGTTGAAGACTTGAAGTTTAAACAGACTGCTAAGGTTTACACAATAAATTAGCATACAGTGGCATGTACAATAATAGTAGTTGTTTCTTCTGAGCTGCATGGTATCAAATTGTACAAGCACCCCAATGTTCCTGGTATGAAAACGTACGAGTATCACAATGTCCTTCCTATATCTTTATGCCCTAAGTAGCCACTTGCCTATTTGGTTAAATAGGAGTATTTTTTTTTGGTTTCCTACAATACAAACTTGTTCATGAATAATAGGATTCACTTAGCAGATTGATAACAAATAAGTTTACCACATTTAGGAATGCCTCAATACAGCTGAAAGCTTATAAAGTATTGAAATACATCTAAGCATCGATTAGTTATTATTGTATTTTTATTTCTGTTTCATAATATTCTTGTTCTTTCTTTAAGCATTTGTGTTACTTGACCAAACCAACCAGTATTGTACCTTGTTTACTATGGCCGTTTTTACATACTCATTCCAATTATTCTTTACTTTCTGGTTCCTTTACCTGATATCATGTCTTGTAAACTACCAAAAAAATGCAATTGATTCTGTATATATATTTTTAAATTTGTTAATGATCCCAACTGAAGGGCAGGCCTGGTGCAAGCGGTAGAGTCTTACCGCCTGTGACCGGAAGGTCCCGGGTTCGAGTCGCGGTCTCCTCAAGATTGCACAAAGCGAGGGTAAGGCTTACATCGACATCTTTCCCTGGACCCGCACGCATGAGCGGGAGAGCTCTCTCTGACTGGGTACGCCCTTTTTTTTTGTTTATGATCCCAACTTATGTGAAATTGTTCCTTTCACATCCAGTTGACAGTGGTGCAATACCATCAGCGGATGTGTGCATCGAGGATGATTTTGATAAAAGGTTTCAAGATGATCTTGATGAAGCAATGCGCCAAAGCCTTGGTACCCTTTTTATTATGACTGCATCCTTTCTCTATGAATATGCTCGTATCTTAGGCTCTTGAACATCCATGGACAATTATATTCAACACCTCTGTATTATCATAAATATCTCTCTGTGTTAAGGCTTGTACAGTCTACAAATATTCTGCTTTGCATGAATGTGCTTTCCTCATGTTATATAGATCTTTAAGTATATATGATGATGTGATGTTATGATGATTGTTCTCTTACTGTCTTCTTTCTCTGTTTCTACAAGAGGTGTCTGGTAATGATTTTAATTTTTTCTTATGGAATTTCAATGATTTCTCACTTAAGTCCTATCATTTAAGGATACGATGCTTATCCTGTTGGTACGATAAGCACTTCAAATGGGACAGAAGTGTATGGGACTGGCCTTAAAAATGCTGCTGGTGAATACAATTGTTTCTTGAATGTGATTATTCAGGTAAGCTTGGATTCATAATGTGCTATTCTCTAGGATTAGGCAATCGTTCTTTGTTTACCTAGTGTTCTTCTATTTGCAGTCATTATGGCATATAAGGCGGTTTCGAGACGAGTTCCTTAAAACATCATCACTGCACAAGCATGTTGAAGATCCTTGTGCTGTCTGGCGCTTTATATGGTATCTTCATTGACCTGAGCAAAGCAGCCAAGGGACAAGGAGAAGCTGTTGCGCCTACTTCATTGAGGATCGCTTTGAGCAAATCCTACCCGAACAGCAAATTCTTTCAGGAGGTAAATTGATGTCCTCTCTTGATAATTTAAGGCTTTACGTATGTTGTTTCAGCATTTTAGCATCCAAATTCTTACTTTCTTATATCGATGTTCCTTGGCTGTAAACATTTATGATCATGGCAGGGACAGATGAATGATGCATCTGAGGTACTGGGTGTAATCTTTGAGTGTTTGCATAAGTCGTACACTTCTCGTACTGTCTACCATGGTAAATCTCATGAGAAGAATTCTATTGGATCATGGGATTGTGCAAATATTTCTTGCATAGCACATAGTCTTTTTGGGATGGACGTATATGAACGGATGAACTGTCACAATTGTAAGATGGAGTCTAGGCGGCTCAAGTATACTTCATTTTTCCACAATATCAATGCTAGTTCACTCCGAACTGCGAAGGTTAGTTTTCTTTGTTTGGTTGAATCTCATGATATGTTCCCTATTTTTATTTCTGTGTTATATGTGGTTTCTTATATAGTGCAATCATGATAGTTACTGGTTCCGCTAACAATTCCTTCTTCAGATGATGTGTCCAGATTCTTCATTTGATGAACTTTTGAAGGTTGTCATAATGAATGATCAACTAGCTTGTGATCAAGACGTTGGCGGCTGTGGAAAACCGAATCATATACACCACATCCTTTCTACATTCCCACATGTCTTTACAGTCGGTAAGATTTTTTTGGCTCTTGGTTGGATGTTTCAGGCTGAAGGGCGGGCCTGGTGCAAGCGGTAGTCTTACCGCCTGTGACCGGAAGGTCCCGGGTTCGAGTTGCGGTCTCCTCGCATTGCACAGGCGAGGGTAAGGCTTGCCACTGACACCCTTCCCCAGACCCCGCACAAAGCGGGAGCTCTCTGCACTGGGTACACCCTTTTTTGGATGTTTCAGGCTGCAATTATTTTGCACTGTAGAGTTTCATGTCCAGTCTAGCTGTTGTTTGATGAATATTTGATCTCACAGTATTCTCTTAGAATGCTTTATATGTTTTATTGAATTCTCTTAGTTGACTATCTTCAATCGAGCAATTGTGATCTAGCTTACTTTTTGGCATGTTACAGCCTTGTGTGGGGATGATCCTGCACTAACACTTCCATGTTCTATATATTTGGTGAGATAATTTGTTGGCATATCCCTCCACTTACCTATTGAATTTTCATTTTAGTTTTGGGATGGCAGAACAACAAAGAGAGTGTGGATGACATATCTGCAACTTTGGCTGGTATTTCAACTGAGATAGACATTAGCATATTCTACCGTGGTCTAGATCAAGGAAGCAAACACACCCTGGTGTCAGTGGTATGGCCATGGAGACCCTTTGTTTTGTTTTATCTCTTTCTTGAATGTGTGGATGGTTTTGTTGATTGTAGTTTTCTTAAACCTGTAAATTATCTTCTTCCGGTATGCGTATTTATAATATTTATGCAGCAGCAAAAACATGTACATCTAGCCTGTGCTTTTTGCAGGCCCAGCCCGACTTTTGCTCAGGTCTAGGGAACTACTAAAATAACTCCAGTTTGAGAATAAGACGATGTCTCCTGCTTGGGATACTATTTGTTTCTGTTTCCAGGGAGCTCATTGTGTTGTCACTTGTTGGTATTACATGTGTTATCAGCTAATTTGAGAACTTGCTTTCAGTAATTACGTAAACTGGGAGCTGATAGGATATGAAGTAGGTTGAATATATTTAAGGAGAATAGCAAATTGAGTTCAGCTGCATATAACGTCAATGTGACTGTATTATTGCTGTTCACATAATTGTGGTAAAAAATTTCAATTCGAGCTTATAATTGCCACAATAACCTATCTTTCCATTTGTTGTCAATTTTTGTTTCATTTAGCTTCATTCTTATACCTACCAAATGATTTATTTTCTCCAAATTATGGATTCACAGTAAGGTGTGTTGCATTTTTAAGTAAACATCGTGTCTTTACATAGTCTTTTATCTAAATCTGGTGTTTGGGCATCTGTCTGTCAATGCAAGGATCATTAGATATATATTACTGCTTTTTACACCTGCAGGTTTGTTACTATGGCCAGCATTATCATTGTTTTGCCTTCAAGGATGGACGTTGGGTCATGTATGATGACCAGACAGTCAAGGTAACCCAATAACCATACTACTTTGAGCATCCTTTTTACTCGTCCTACTCTTGCTTAGTGTGGCCCAATTTTGGTTCCATGTTATTTGTGCAGGTTATAGGTAGTTGGGGTGATGTGCTCGTGATGTGTGAAAAGGGCCATTTGCAACCCCAAGTGCTTTTCTTTGAGGCTGCAAATTAATTATTCTTCAGAGTCGTAAAGTGCTGTGCAGTGGTTAACATGCCCTCAAATATAGGGTTTTTCCCTGTGGCCGTGAAGATTAGAAATAGAGTAGCAAATTGGTTTTGAGCGGGGGTACAGAGTAGCATTCAACAGTTGCGCTGGTCTGTGAGTTTTTGTCAGAGCCCTTCGTAATAAGCAGTCACCTGAGCATTCTAGAGCAAAAAGGGAGATATTTATGACTCTTTTTTTTTTCTTTGACCTTTGGTATAGTTGCTGAACTTCTGATCCTTCATCTGCCAATAAGATTTCACTGCCGATCTAGTGGGTGGGGCATTCGACATGAACTGCCATCCAGCAATTCTAGCCGAATCTGCCTAAAGCTCTTCATTATGCTCCAATTATGTATAGAATTTTGTGCTTACAATGGGGGAAGCTGGTATAGTTGAGTGTGCCTGTTTTGAGTTTAGAAGGTTTAGAATGGAAGGAAATGCGGTGTGAACTGCATTTATCTGTGGAGGGGTTGTTCGATAAGAGAGAGGCTATCTGGAATAGGGTACTGACTTTAAGAAGATGTGTCGATCAGAGAAATCTAGTACACGAGTCTGCTATATGTAAATGACTCGATGAGATGATGTGAGATGATTATAGCGATGAATATGAGAATCCTTATCACTACTGTTGGTAACTTTGACCTTTCTGTGGCAGCAGCATTGAATAATGGTACCGCCGACTCGCTGCGTTTGTGTTTTTTTTTGTTTTTTTATAACCTGTTTTTCTGGTTATGGCAACCATAAGTCTGTGGTACATCGATTATTTTACTCATACTGGTACACGGTGTCGCACAGGCTGATGGTTTATCTATATGTTCTTGCTTTTGAGCTCGACCCCTTCCTGTGTACAAAAACCTGAACGTAGTCAAGAATACACAATCTGCTTTAGCGTTTTGTCAGCCTCACACATCATGATTTGGAAGTACTTCCTGTCTAAAACAAGCACTTTAAAGTTTGTGCTAGTATTATTTAACTATTTGTTATCGAGAGTGGGTGCCCAAATGTTTCTCTACCCACCGATAGTGACTCAAGGTGAGGATGCCAAAGTTGGTTTCATATCCTGTTGTGCTGTGTAAATTTGATTTAAGTTCGTGGAGAGGTGTTACTAATATATTTCATAGTAGGTTTAATAATACTCATTTGATTTGATATTTTGATATCGTAAGTAGTGTTGTATCTTCCATAGACTTGGTCACTTATGATAGTTTGATTTATGATAAAATCAAGCATTTACATTTGTGAATGGATGGAGTACTAATACCGCACAAAAATACTAGAGCAACGGCAAAATACACTTTATATCCTGCCATATTAATAAGAATAGAGATTATGGTGGGAAAAAACATCTAATAGTTTCTTCAATTAGTTCTCTAAATTCTGGTTTCTCTCTGGCTAAAGATAGAGAGCCTTTGTTCCAATTTTTTCGCTAGCTAAAGATTGTTTGCTCTTCTAAGCACGCGTAATATATAGAGAAACAGTTGGAGGGAGAAAAGATATAGAGAGTGGTTATATACAAATGATTTTCTAATAAGGATTTAAAGGAGTCTAAGAAAGATTGTCGGAGAATTCGTGCCACTGTGAAAAGGCCGTCAAGAACCGGCTTGACCGAGGCTCCTCCTCTGCAGGACTCCGTGGCGCAGGAGACGACTGTCCCACTCTGGTTAGAGATAAGATGTCCCCTTCTCGCTGCAAGTGATTTGGCTCTTGCCATGGAGCTGCTGCCGCTCTCCCCTCCGCGCGCCCACGCCGGCCTCCTCACCTGCAGCTCCACTCCCGTCGTCCTCGGGCTCCGCTCCCACTCCGCCGCCGCCGCTCCAAGCCGGCGCGCGCGGCCGCTGCTCGCCCGCAGGAACCGGAACAGCCGGAGCGATGAGGAGACCGCGGCGGAGCCCAAGGTCATCACGCTCGGGCGGCCGGGGAAGAGCCGGCGGCGCCGCAGCAGGAAGCAGCAGACGCCGCCGAAGGAAGAAGCAGACGACAAGGAGGAGGAGGACGACGAGGACGAGGACGAGCGCGACGCAACGATCCCGGAGGTGGTGACGAACCGGATGATGCGGCGTGTGGGCGCGTCGGTGGGCCTGCCGCTGGCGCTGGGCGTGGGGTTCTTCCCGGTGTTCTACTACCTGAAGGCGGTGGCGAAGGTGGACGTGCCGACGTGGATCCCCTTCGGCGTGTCGTTCGTCTTCTTCGGCGCGGCGCTGGCCGGGGTGAGCTACGGCATCGTGTCCGCGAGCTGGGACCCCGCCCGGGAGGGCTCCCTGCTCGGCTGGAACGAGGCGCGCCGCAACTGGCCCGTCTTCTGGGACTCGCTCCGGGGACGCTCCTCCCCGCCTCGCCGGGGCTAGGAGCAGCACAAGCTACTTCCCAGTACAATTCTTGTGCCTTTTTCATGTCCATTATTATATTCTTGCAGTCGTAGATGCATGTGTAGAGATCGAGACTGTTTTCGCGTGCGTTTGTCTTTGTCTAGCTCGGAATCTTCGGTCCTTGCATTGGTGGTTTGATTACTATATGTATGTATGTACGTGCAGGACTGGCTGGGACTGAGGTTCAATGAGATTTGCCTCTCTGGCTCTCTTCATAGTTTGACGTCGGCAGCATGCTTTGTTCGACTGCCGATTCAACAGATTATTAGCTCCAACCGTCTGCATTCCGTCATTATATCTATTTTACTGCGTGACGCATATTTGCACAAGCCACTGGGACAAGCAAAAATATGATCTCAATCTCACCGCGGCCTAATTGGAACCTAAACTCAACCCGTTCAAGCGAAAGTATACAGATATAGGAGTCATCATGGATCATAAATCCAGTACAGTTTATACAGTAGCAACTAAAGAAATCAGGCCGAAAGATACGGAGGCTGCTGCTACGTTTGCAAACGGGCTCCGAACGGCCTTGATGGGATCGGCGCTCCTAGACGTCCGGATTCAGGGGCGCGTCCGGATGCATCTTGAGCCCGTCCGCCCCCGCACGGAACAGTATACTTGATCCCGACCAAAACAACGGAGCACCTCGCGGAAGGCCCGTCCCACAGAACAGTAGACTCGTTCCGTCCCGCAGGCACCGCATCCCACCATCCCAACGCGCCGCCTATCCCCCCGCCACGCCCCGCTAGGTGCGTCGCATCCTCACCGCGCTCCCATCAGAAGTATTAATTGTTTGCAACATCAAACAAAGCGCAATGCGAGATGCAACATCAAAACAAAGTCTACTGCAACATTAGAACAAAGCTACTGCAACAACAGAACAAAGATACTGCAACGCGAGATGCAAGATCAGAAAAAAGAAACTAATGCAACAAAGAAATATTAGTTATTGCAACACCATAACAAGGCTACTGTAACAAAAAAAAAACAGAACAAAAAGCAAAGGCGAGAAATCAAACATAAAAAAAAACTAATGCAACAATAAAAAATTATTTGTTGCATCAGCAAAACAAAGCTACTGCAATAACAAAGAAACAAAGCGCAATGTGAGATGCAACAATCAAGAAAAAAAGACCAATACAACAAAAAAGAATACTTGTTGCAACATCAAAACAACGCTACCGCAACAACAGAAACAAAGCGCAATGCGAGATGCAACATCAGAAAAAAAAACTAATGCAACAAAAAAGAATACTTGTTGCAACAGCAAAACAACGCTACTGCAACAGAGCTCGCCGAAACCCTAGCCACAGCGTCGTCCCTCAAATCCAGATCCAAAGGAGGAGGCGGAGGAGGAAAAGCTCAGATCCAGAGGCGGAGGAGAAGGAGGAAAGCTCAGATCTAGAGAAGGAGGTGGAGGACGAGGGCTCAGATCCAGAGAAGGACCCACCTACCTCGCCAGAAGCTACCACCGTCGCCCTCCTCTCCGGTGGCATGGAGGTCACGGAGGGAGGGGTGGCTCACTGGAAGCCGCCGTCGTCGTCCTCCTCTCCGGTGACATGGAGGTCGCGGAGGGAAGGAGGGAGGGGGAAGGGAGAGAGGGGCGGCTCGCCGGAAGCCGCCGCCGTCGCCCTCCTCTCCGGTGGCATGGGGTCGCGGAGGGAGGGAGGGGCGACGGCGCGCTACGCAGCAACGAGAGAGTGGAGGAGCGGGCGAGGAGACCAAGAGACTGGTGCGCGTGGGTCACGGGCGAGCGGATAAGACGAGCAGGGCGTGCGGTCGGTCGAGCGATGCGGGGTCCGTCCAGACAAAGTTATATCCCATCACGGAAACCATGTCGATGTCCAAAATGACAAGGTTATACTTTGGAGGCCATGTCGATGTCCAAAATGACTTGAATCAATATGGAGGGAGTAAGTTTTATTACTCATTTATGGGTCACGAATCAAACGTGGAATTTCGGGTTCTTCAAGTTCCCGGACTCGACAAATGACAAGGTTTAAATTAATTCTTGCATACTTAGTGTCTAATATTGGACTATTGTGCACATAATTAGTTTAAATTGGGAGGTTCCGCCAAACAAACACCTTGGGTTATGATGCATAGGGTCCAGTGCAAACTAAAACTAGCGCAAGTAACAAACGCACACTATAACTCCCACTCATAATCCTTAAAAAGTAGATATATAGCATAACCCTTAAAATTTCAATAATCTTAAAATCTACTCCCTTAATCCAAATTATAAGACGTTTTAGGTTTTCTAGATACATTGCTTTTATTATGTTTCTAGTCATAGTGTATATCTAAGTGTATAGTAAAAGTTAGGTATCTAAAAAAGCTAAAATATCTTATAATTTGAAATGAAGGTAGTAAATGACAACTATGATTTCAAACATTACACATTGCTTCTATGTATATGGTTTCAGAATCAAATATAGCATCCACTCATAATCCCTGAAAAGTATAAATATTACCTGAATCCACATCAAAAAGAAAGGGACCATTTTGATACATAAGTTGTTATGCAACCACTTGGTCGGTGTAACTATATATACGTGGTTATGCATCCAATTACTACACTTCGACGCTAATGAGAGAA